AAAGAGCCAGTTCTCTAAAAAGAGCCGGAAATCCCATCACTATGCGGTACCTTTTAAACACAGTTTGGCGCGTTGGCAATGATTGATAGGGCGGCTGTATCGATCACGTGACTTTTTCTTAAAGCGACGCACGCACCGATACAGGCATCGCTCTGTGAGCTTGATACATGCGTCGGTGCGTCAGTATTTCAGGACCCTTCACTACTATTTTCAGTTGCTGAATTCTGCGTTAGCATGAATATCTTAACACATATGTGAGGTTTACCCTTCTACACTAGAACAGAAAAGATAAATGTTCCAGTGGTCTTGCTATGAGCCCCTATATGTTATTATAGCATGTTGCTCTGGCATGAAGTGGATGATGCAAACATATAATGTTGCATTCTTTTCTTTTTCGTGTGTTTCCACAGGTGAAAGTACAGTAGAAAGTACAGTATATAACTACACACGACTGGTTACAGGTAAGACACATGTTTTGTGCAGAAACATGGTAAGCATTAAAGGATAGAAGACGTTCATGTCTAATATTAAGCCAGATTTTAAGTTTTCTTGTTAATATTGATTTTATTCACCTTGCTACTACATCATTAATTTGAGAAAGCCAAAACAAGCAAGTATAATCTATTATGAATAAACACAAACATATAAATGTTAAAATGGGTAAATTCCTCTTTTCTAAGTGTGTTTTCTAAGGTTTAATCACATTTACACCAGTTTGGACTTTATTCATTGCAGCATGTGCTTTATTTTTACCTTTTTCTGTGATGTTTCTGCTGCATTACATCCTGTACAGCCACCTTTAGGTGTTAAGCTTTTCTGATCTTCCTTTTATTAAAATAATTTCCATTTTTAATAGTTCTCTCCCAGTGTCACAATAGTGTCACTTTTTTGTAGTGCCTGTCAAAATTTACCCAAAGGCACTAAAAACTAAACTGTATGATCTCTGCTTCTGTGTAATTCAGCCATTTGCTTGTTATATTTCTGTCAGCCCTGCTTTCTGTATAACTGCTTCTTTGTTTGCTTGCAATGTACTTCCCGTTTCTTCAGGCAGATCCTCCACCTGGACCTGGTTTTCATCCTTTAAAGTTACTGTCAAGAGTTTGTTTTAAGGACATGAAGATGGCTGCCAATCTTATTCACCAAAACACTGATTAACTTCTTCTGGAAATACTGCAATAGCTTTAACACTACAATATGGCACAGACCAACAGTGTAAACAATAAATACTACTTTCACCACAGCAGTGTGGCACACATGCCAAACTTTGCATAAAATACTTAATAGTGCTTTCTGCCCTGCAGGGTCTCCTCTCAAGTGATTCATGTATCAGTGTTGGGTATTTAAAAAGACGTATAGATTTCCAACAAAATGAAAGTTCTTGTATTCATTGTAGCAATTATTTAAAGGGTGAAATCACATGACTCAGAATGTATATCCTTATTTGAATTAATTATTTGAATTAAAATTACTTTTTATCACTAAGTGTAACTAATTATCGATACTTCCTGTCATCTTTGACAGCTCATCTCACTTATTCCATTTCCTTTCCAAGTGAGTAAAAAGTCTGAGATATTTGTTTTATGATAAAAGCTTTATTTCTTTAACTAATACAAATATCATAATACTGTGTTGGTATTATAATGATATTGATACTGATATGACTTTAAAG